CACTCAGCTCCTTCAGACTAGCCAGCAGCATTTAGCAAACACCTAATGGAACTGAACATCTGCTGAGCTCATATATGAGCTACTTCTCAGTAAAACGCTGGTAAAGGGTTAACAGTGGAGATGTGATGACTTCCTGAAAGAGGAGTTTTAGCAAGAGCAGGAGTTTTTAAAAAGACAGAGGCCTAATTTAAAGGCATTAAATTTCAAAGTTAAATTTCTATCAAGTCATGTTTGATATATGCAGTCTTTTTATATCAACTGAAGGTAACATAGTTGCTTAATTGTCTTATAAAAATGACACTATGTGCCTAGAAAATACATAAGACTGCCCCTTTAAACTATCCTTTTGTGATAAATATCATAAATCCAGAATAAATTGTGATCAAGTAAATGTGATAGCAATAACACAGAGTCATGCAGCTCATCTTCTTAAGGTCTCTTAACATTTTATGAGACCAGGTGTTCAGGAAACCTAACCACCTGTTAGGCCATGTTAATAACACACATGCAGCATCTCCAGGATGAAACTTCCTCAGTTTACATTTCACATCCATACATACCCATCTGTTCCCACTTTCCCCCGACCCTGTGAGTGTTTTTCCTTTTGTTTATCCTCTTGGGGATTTTTTTGGCCAGGAAGAGAAGCAGGCAGCAGACAAAGGCAAATACAATTACCAAGAATGGAATCGCACACAAACACGTGGTTTTTTTCTCTTAGCGCCGTCTCATTCGCTGCACACTGACAGCAGCAAATTTCCTGTGTAGTAGCCAATGGTGATGGACTCACAAACATGCTCATTAAAGGCAATTACAGCTAGCCTCTTTGGAGCTAGGAAACCATAGCTTGTGGCTGGATTGGAACATGTCAGTATAAACTGAAGAAAGATTGTTCAAATGACTCATTAAATTAAATTGAGACGTCACTTCATACAGAAGATATAAGCTGTAGCTGGCTGCAGCTAATGTAGCTCAGCCTGTGCTTTAGCTAGAGAACGTTGCATCACGAAGTGGAGGAAGTTGAACGTTGAGACTTTTCAAAACCAGATCCCAGAGTCGATCAATTTCAAAACGTCTGCTTTGAAAGATGAGGTTTTAGCTTCATCTCTGTCTCTCTCTGTCTCTCTATCCCACAGGCGCCTCACTCTCAAATAATGGTGCGTTCCAGTTGTAGTGCAGCAGCAAAGAACGGTTAGACAAAATCAGACTTCCTTCTGGGAGAGCGGGAGCAACTGCAGCTACACCCAGTTATGACTCGTAAGGCCGACTGTGTGTTTCAACATGGCCGCTCTTCGCGTCAACAATAGTAAGCTGTGGTGGAAATGTGTTTATTTTACAAGACGTGTGTAAGAGTACATCTAAGATCAATATTTCATGTATTTGGTCAGCATCCTTTGTTTTCTTGTCATTGTTCTTGCACAGCTGTTGCACATGTCACACGTTTCCAGTCCAGTGACCCCCACCACAGTGTTTATCATTTTTCTCTCAGTCATCAGCGAATCAGCAGAGTCTCCATGATATCTCCCTGATTTCTCCTCTGTGTTGCCTCCAGTGTTGCTGGTGAGATTGTTTTTGTTTTGTTTAGTTTTTTTTCTGTAAATTGCTTAATAGTAACCTTTTTTTATTATTTTCTATCTGTACATTCTTTCCAATTCAGAGGGCGAAATGTACCTTTTGGGTTTCTTGCATCTTATCACGCTATATGGCCTTGATTCGAAATAATTTTCTATATGAATTTTCTTTTCTCTCTTTTTTTGTTTTGTTTTACTTTTTATCTCCAGACATAAGTATTAACCATCATGTCAAACCAGGACAGTGAGATTCAACTGTTAGGGGCATCTGTACATTCTTTCATCTTTTCTAATAAAGTAGAAATAAAACACGGGGACAGGGCAAAATACGTACATGTAATTTCAACCATTTTTTGAAGGTAAAGAAAGAAAAAAAAAGCTGCTACTTTGGAGATAGATAATGTAAAATAAATCATAAAAAACTCTTGAATGAAGCATTAACTCTTGTTTGAACTCTCAACAGAGTAAATGCACAGACTGGCGTTGGGCCTGTGGTGCACCTTCAGCTGCAGCGGAGGAAGTGGGTGGATGTTTTTGCTTGGCTCCTGGGGGACACTCAAAGCCAGCAAGCCATACGCCCAAATATACATGACTGCTCTCACTCCTTTAAGATCTCTGCTTCTCCTTTGAGTCCACGCATGACCTTCCACCCCCACCACCAAAATCAATGGGCCCTTTCACTGATTGCCCCTCATAATGACCCCCTGTTTGAGTCCAGAGTTATCGAGGGAGCTGGAAGAAGAAACAATTTCATTCTGCGACTTATCTGTGGAGCACAGACATAAAGTAACAATAACAAGATGGAACTTTATATTTTATTATCTCGTGAAGAGTGCTACAGTATATACTGTAAAATGGAATTAAATTTCTATTTTATTTTTTAAAACATTTTTTTAAAAGTGCTCAAGATTTAACATTTAAATGTCGACTGCATGTATAAAGTGTATCTGTAAGCAAAACAAGTACAAGCACATTTTTAATTTTTACAATGCTCTCCATTTGGTCTTGTGGGGAATATCACGAAAATTACCTTACAAAAGCAGTACATATTTTTGCTCTGAAAGGGGAGACTATCATGTTTTCTTTATTATTAATTTTGAAAGGTTAAATGAATTGAGTTTTATTTTGGTAATGGTATCATTTTAAAACTGTATGCAGCTCATTTTTATAGACAACATCCTTCCAGCTAATAAGGCCTTATCCACAGAACCAAGGGAACAGAAAAATCGTTTTTCCGTACTTTCCTCCTTCTTTCTCAGAGAAGTCCGGACAGCATGTTGGAAAATGATCACACCTCCTTCAGCCAGATCACCTCGACGAGTCCTTCAGAGATAAATATCCCTTCTTTTTTTTCTTTTTTTTCTTGTTTGTCTCCGTGTGTCTAAACAGCTTCGCCTCAAGTGGGAACACACTGCAGATCTGTTTCCTCAGCTCAACAACAGCAACGAATCGGAGGCTCTGCTTTGCTTCCTACTGCCAGGTGCTCCTCGCTGGTGTGATGAAACGTCTGCTGTATAATCTGCAAAATATATGTTTTGTGTGGAGGCTCCCGCTCAGCACAGGAAACAGATTTGCCATCAGCCGACGCTAAGTGCAAACGTTTGTTTGAAGAGCGCCTGTGAAATGGTCTGACCGCATTTTCACGGTGACGAGAGACGGAGCCGCCGTTTCTCTTTGGCTTGTTTTATGCTTTCAATCAGGTTCTTAAAGCTGCAGTATGTGACTTTTATTTTTAAAAACTGTTTTTTTGTTTGTTTGTTTTTTCTTTTTGTTTTGTTTTTTTAAATTTGTTAAAACTGATCCTATGTCGTGACAGTAAATGAGGCAGATAATCTGTGGAAAAAACGAACTCCTCTGCTTTCTCCCAGCGCTAACTAGCAACAACCAATCAGAACCAGGAAGTGGCTCAGCGCTGTCAATCATGTCACTGTGCGTGCTGCTCACCCCACTCCTCGCTACTCCCCTTAATCTCTGCTACAATAGAGCTTCTCCCTGTTAGCAGAGCCTGTCATGAATGCTAATGCTAATTACCATAGCCCCCAGTGACTGCAGATAAATGATTTTCCTGTAACAATGAGTTGTTTTTACACCATTAGCATGTTCACGAGGTTGATTGACAGTGCCAAGACCCTCCTCCTGGCTCTGACTGGTTGTTTTTGGTTGTGCATTTCACTAAGTCAGCAATAGCAGATCAGGGAATAGGTGGAAGAGATCGATCTTTTCACAGATTACCTGTCTCATATTATACTATCACCACATGGTGACAGTTTTAATAAATGTTAAAAAAAAAAAGTTACTTACTGCAGCTTTAAACAGGTTCTAAAAACAATCAGTCTGAGCAAAAAGGTGAAAATATTTCCTAACCTGAAAAAATTTAAATGAACTTAAATGCATTTAAAACTCAATGCTGAAGCAGTCGGCCCTGAAATGTTGGCTTGTTTGTGTTGCAGACACATAAGACGGCCTTTGTGTGTCACAGGGAGGTCAGTAAAGGAGCACTCCTATATTTAGGTCCCTGTTTAAGGAAGAAAGAAGACTCTGATCCTAAATGTCAATCCCTGCGTGTGATTTGAGGCTGCCGCACTAACCATCACTGTACAGGAGCAAAAATTATAACCCCATCAATCACCACTGGAAACCTCAGGCGTTCAAATAGTATTCCCAGCTGTCCGACATGCAACAGACGCTCTGTTTGTTCCCCGCGGGGCGAAGGAGAGACCGGGATTAACGAACTCTGCGCTGGGTGTCTCGGGGTTGCGACGTAGAAAGATATTTTATGTTTTTATTGCAAGAAGAAATGAAAAGGCAGTCAGCGAGAACACGAAGTGATGCAAGAAAGATTCATGTAGTTCGTTGAAAATGGATTTTTACTCCTGGAGTTTTGTTTTTTTTCCATGATTTTTTGCAGATTACAGCCGCAACCTTCAGTGTGTTTTGCCATTTTTATTCAAAGCTTTGTCCAACAAAAAAAAGACAAAAAGAAAGAGAAAGAAAATCCTAGTTGTTACGGCAAAATATGCTGATCCAACTCTTTGTAGAACCATCGGCTGCTGTAGTCAAAGTTGCAGGGGCTGCAGGGCAGGTTTCCATTTGTTCTTCATGTCAATTAACTGGATTTTTTTTAATAAAAGTAGCTAAAGCCCGCATTTTTTCACTGTGGGATACACTTCAATTTTAAGACTAAATTTTAAAATGTGCATGTTCTCGAGTGGGCAGTATGACATGTTTTCCAAGCACATAGTATAACTTTTCAGCATAATCAAGTAACTATGTTATCTTCAGTTGTCATAAAAAATACTATGTATATCAAACACGATTTAAAAGAAATCTGACTTCATAACTTCAAAACTGGGTCTCTGTCTCTTTAAGTACGTCCTGCTCTTTCCAACACTTTGCCTTCAGGAAGTCATCACAACTTTAGCAACGTTTGCCAATTGTTGCTGGCTAGTCTGAAGGAGCTGAGCATGGGAGTCACGAGGGAGGTGTGTGCTCTGTGAGGCGGAAACTCGGAAGATCAGAAAGAAGCTCAGAAGCTCCTCCTCCAACCGAGGAGGAGCTTCATCCTAGAAGGCAGACCTAAATCCAACCAGGCGTTTTTGCAACACTGAATGGTCGCCATGTGAAATTATTTCTCAAACATGGATGAAAGAATCAGGGCAACCCTCCATGGATGTTTTTGATGAGGGAGCAACTTAGTAACATGCTCATTTATTCAAATCGTTTAGCGTTATAAAATCAAATCCTTTAAACTTCTCTACAACGTCCTCCTTCTCTTGTCTGCTGTTTCTTTGTGATGCTGTTTATTCACTAATGAGCTCCGATATTTATCATTTATGCAGTGATAATAATAATAATAATAATAATAATGCACTACTTTGTATTGGTACTTATCAAGCCTTGAGGGTTGAGTTTCTTCCATTTCAGATGTTTGCTTGGTTCAAGACAACCTGAATCGAATAAACAGGTTATCACCGAGTTCATGCAGGACTTGGTGCCGTTTTGAATATCTAATTCAGCCCTTGAGAACTGGAGTTGGAAACCCCTGGTGTGATCCGTGAAATTCTGGTTAAAGACATTGACATTTGTGTCTAAATGACCAAAGGTTTGATGGTGTGAAAGTACTTCTGCAAAGGAGCTTAGAGAATGCAGGCACACCTGTTTTTAAAGCTAAATTAAAAATGTGCATATCTGAAATGTTTTCAACAGAATTCAGACAGACTGGTAGAGACATGGTTGATTTAGTCAGACTGACAGTTCTTTTGACCTGAGTCTCCTTACTGTGTCCGTCTTCGACACTCTGCTCTGCGGGAATTCCTGAAAGCTCCTAACCAGAGATAAAACAGACGGCAAGCCAAATTCAGCCATGACATCACCGTTGAACAATTTGTGAACAAGATCTGACTTATAATCTTTGTGTTCTTAAACTGAAAAGGCCATGCACAAGAGACAAGAGACTCTCCTATCAAATCAGGAACCTGCTCAGAGTTTCAAATGGTTTTCACTATGTCTGTTGTAAAGAATTACTCAACGAAAACTAAATCTGGTTTCCAGAACCCTAGCTTTCACGTGACCGCGCTTCTGCAGATGTCACACTTTCTGCTAAAGCAAAAATATTTGCATTAGACGTTAGAACAGTGAATGGGTTACAGGAAGGTTTGGCAACAATGAGACACATGGAAGCAGTTTGTGGAGAGAACCAAGGCGGTCTGGAATGGCCAGACTTTTTTATTAACAAAGGTCTTCAGCGATTATTTTGAGCCGAGCTGTTCTAAAAGCCATTCGAAGTCCCGATGTTCTGCACCGGATGTTTCAATAAGCAGACAGAATTACTTAATGGCTAATTTAGATAAGCCGTGCATGCATCTGAGGCAGACCGCATAGCGTCGACCTTATTCCTGGAGATAGACGTATGATAACAAACTGGATGCTTGGCAGTAAAAAGAAAAAAAAAAGAGAGAGAGAGAGATAAGTTGATTCGGTGAAAAAAATGTCCCTCTGGACTCTGCCAACATTTATACAACCAGATAAACAATTTAGCAGTTTTTAAAAGGTTTTTGAGCCACAATAGAGAGCTTTATTGAGTAGTTTATTGGGGAGCCTGGGCGAGGGGGGTGAATGCAGAAAATGTTACCTAGTAATACAAAATCCCACCAAGTATTTTTGGTCTACTTTCTAATGCAATTATCTTATTGCACTTTAGTGAACTTGAAATGAGAAAGGCTGGCTTACCAGTAACTTTTAAGTAAGATCCAGGAGCTTCTTTCAAGTCAATAATTCCTTATTATTGGTGAAAAATTATTTGTTCTATTGGCAGATTTTTTTTTTTTTTGCTTGTAACAAGACACTGTCCCCATGTTACAAGTGAAATAGTCTGCCAGTGTTCAACAAAACAAGCTCCTATTTCTTGCTGAAAAGTTCCTTGAAAGTTATTTCAGTCTTTTCTCGAGAGTTCAAAGATATTTACACTGGAAACTAAATTAGTTTTTGCAGTGCCATGCCAGTAATTGAACCGGGAACTGCACCGACTGCTGTGACTTCTATATTTGGTGTGCCTGCTCTCCCAGTGAGCCATGCGGCTCCTCTGCAGCAACTTTTGAGTGCCGCGTGTGCACAGAAACTAATTTACTAAAGTCAGCTAATTGGCTCAATTTGTGTGCCTCTTGTGATGTCATTAAACTGAACAAAGCAGAGTAGCAGTTTTTTTTTTTCATTTCATTCTTTCACTTCACTGCGCATTTTAAAAACATTGCATCTTCTGAAATCCTGCAGAAGAATTTCATGACCCAGCCATTGTTTTTTTTTTTTTTTTTTCATTTTTTTATTGTGGGCGTACATTTGTCGGTGAAAGAAAAGAAAAAAAGCCTCACGACTGCAGAGGAGCATCTTAGGAGCGCTCTCTGACATGTCTTCACAAGTCCATCTCTCAGCAGGACTGTGGCTTTCTGTTCACTTGCCACATTAGATTGAAAAGCGCTCATGTGACCCTCAGTCCGCCTTTCATCACGTACAGTCCCGTCTCTCAAAGCCGTACGGTACAGCCAGTTTACCCAAATATTTACTGTACAAAAAAAACAAAATGGTGACAAAGTGAACGTAGAGCTGAGCGGGACCTTTAACCAACTGTCTCGCTGCTGTTTATACAGTATCTGACCTGTGTTTATTATGCGGACCGTGTTAACACCGCTGTGAGGCGGAGAGCGGATCTGTCAGATCAATGGCCGCCTGTTTGGCACACATCGGCACTGAGAGATTCATTCAGCTGTCAAAATAAAGCCAGAGGAGTTAAATTGTGGGTCGGTGGAGACGGGGGGGATTAGTGAGGTGTGGAGATATTTATGAAAAAGAGAGAGAGCACTCAGAGTAACTTTTACGGCAGAGGAAAAGATTTGGTGCACCTTGATTTTGCCTGAAACGAGTCAATCGGAACATAGGAGAACCCTGATAAGGCATGAATCTGACCCTCTCTGTTTGCTGTTTTGCTCCAAATCAACTAATAAGAGTTTTTAAAATTACACTTAAAAGCTTCTGGGTAAAACAAAACAAAACAAAACAAAAAAAACTTTTGCTAATGTAGGTCTTGGTCAAATTTGTACCGATTCAGTTCTGGATTGATTTAACCCAACAGGGTGATGGAACGACATGTTTAGTTAAGTTCTGGGTCAAAGTGACCGGATTAACTTTTACTGGCTCGGTGGTGGCAGTGACACACAACCTCACCTCCGTGACTAAGGCCTGATTCACACAGCAAAGTTCTAAAACTGTTGACCAATTTTCAGAACTTCAGAAACCTCACATGACAATAACAAATAAAATCTTAGGTATAACAGGTTTGGATGTGTTGTAATGAGCGGTGGTGCTGCAGATGCTCGTTGCCTTCCAATCTACAGGTGGTCGGCCCAATCTCTAATTTGATGTTACTGAATGTGACGCAATGTGGAATCTTACGAGACACAGCTGTTTGCAATTTGCCGATATTTTGTAAACCGATCCTCCATTTGGGAAAGGGAGGGACTTTGTGTCACTATATTTAGAAGCTGTAATTCCTGCAAATAAATGAGAAATCTTGCGTCCTGCATGCGGGTTGTGTGTGGGTTCTCCCTCTGCAGAGATATTTTTTAAACAGTCAAGGACTGTAAGGTAGCTAATTTGAGATTAGCACTCTGGTGTTGCGATCCAGAGATAATAGGGAGGCACTCGGCTAATTGGGGCCAAAACTGGAACAGTCCAGCATTGTCAAACTGTTGCTAATTTGGGATTAGCACTCTGGTGTTGGGATGCAGAGACTTGAGTCCAAAGTGATCTGGTTGAGGACCATGCAACTTCTTTACTATATTTTTAGAATTGCACAAATGTGAGTTCAGAGTAAACAAACTGGGAAGAAGAAATGGCGATAGTTTATGGATTATGCTTAACAGAGAAAAAAAAAACAATATTTGACATCTCTGTCATTCACCAGACTTTCCGGTGCTTTGTCTTCTTTATTTAGAACCTCACCTTAGTTTTTGTCATCTCAGTTTCTGATCAGCGACACGTCACGTGTAACACCACACACGCTGCAATATTGGGCCAAGACAATCTAACATGTTGAATATCTACAGTTTTAGGAATGTTGGAGCTAAACTTCCCAAGCATCTCTGCAGACCCCACACATCCTGGACACAAAAAGAGTTTAGACTTTTACCTTTAGAGCAGTACTTGCAAACACAGTCACCACAGAGACAGTCTCTTCCCCCAGGCTGTCTGTCTGATGAACACCGTGAACACAATGCAGCCACAGCGGTCGGCTGCTCTACTGTGGAATAAAATAGGCATGTTACACTACAGCAACTTGTTTCTTTCTTTTCTTCTTCTTGTATATAAAACAGCCATACATACCTGCAGATACATATATTCTACATTTGCTACTTTATTTTATTTCCTCTAAAGTTTATATTTTGTGTTTGTATGCTGTGAGTCCCTGAAAGTGAAGTAAAAAGTCATCGTTTGTGCATGCAGCCTTAGCCAATAAAGTTGATTCTGACTCTGATGTGAACTCTAGCTACCATTGGTTTCAGCTTCTCTGTGAACAAACTGGTTCACCAGGGTGAACTGAAGTCATCAGGACAACCCAGACTTTGTGTTCTCCTCAACATGGCAGCCTATCAAGATGGACGAGGCTCTCTGCCTTTACCTTCTCCAATTCAACAAACTGGGTCTGAATATTTGGCTACATCTGCCCGATTTCTGTCCCAACAGCCAAGAAGCTTCTAGAGTCGACCTGCAACCGACAGGCCTCAACAATGTCAAAGGAGAACCTCCAAAATGGAGCAGAACGGGATGGATGAGAGCCACTTCGAATTTGAGTCATATCATCTGAGTTTCTTTATGCAGCTTTCTGATAATTCCTCCTGGCCAGCTTTAACTGACGGCGATTCCAAAACGTCAGATATTTTGACATTTTTACAACCATCTTCAGCCTAAATGACTTCAG